TTAGTTATTCTTTGCTGCTCACTGTAATTGGCATCCTCATAATTCTTTAGCATCTTCATAATTCTCATGGTTCGCCTGCCAGCAAAATACATCTAAGGGTTACACTTGCCGCAATCTCCTAACTGTTCCCCCTGTGTTCCCTTCACCACCACTCCACAATCAGGCTACCAATGATGCCCATGTGTTGGGATAGGAGAAAGAGGGGAGCATGATGACGGGCTGATGTGACGTAATTGCGCTCTAACGCTCTAACGTGAAGGACTTTGGGCATGTGCATATCGTTTGTTCTGCCTTGTTCATGTCGCCGACTTTCTCTGTTCAGTCACCAAGCTCTGCGTGCGAGATGTGACACGTTTTGGGAAGTCAAGTGGCATGTCCTGGCATGCAGTACTCACTCTTATGGCACATCTTGGCAAAGTCAACGGCTACATACGAATAGGATGGTGACCCCGCATAGTTGCACTACCCGCAGTCGCTCTGCATGCCATTCTTGGAGAAAACGTTACGCATAAGGACGGTTTTCGACGCATAGTCAAGCCCTTCAGCAACTTGGATGTCCTCCAGGCTGTCAGCCCCTATGGTTTACCGTAGTCTCGGTGTCAAAGGCACCCCAAAATTTTCGGAAACCCTAAGCCCTGCGGCTCCATCCGCCATGGCCCGCTCGCTGACAAAGAGCGGCAGCGGGGACTCTGTAAAGCTCACGGTCCATCCTGAAGGCTTCTGGAACAATAATGGAGAATCAAATGGAAAAGAAAATGGAAAATGAAATGGAAACTGCTATAATATGTAGGGCTATATGGGGGATATGGTATTTTATTTGGGGGTACTATGGTACCCCAATAATGGAGAATCAAACGGAAAAGAAAATGGAAATGAAATGGAAACTGCTATAATATATGGGGTTATATAAGGATTATACGAGCTACAGTCTAAACTCCTTAAGGGGGGTTTAGGTAGGGGGTTATATAGGGAAGTATTCTAGGGGTTATTATGTGGGATAGGGCCGCTCGAACAATATTATGGCCCCTTTTTTTTGGTTTTAGATTAGATTACCGCATCTAGTATTTGGGGGGGTACCAAAATGACCCCAATTTTGTGGGAACTACTAGAACACCATAAACCTGATGCGACTACAGTGCCTTCTTAGGGATTACTGGGGGCTCTCAGGGCTCATTAGGCCTTGTTAATCAGCGCAGGGACCCGTGGTCTTATGATATCCCTAGGGCAGAAGATGCGTAGGAATTTTTGCCATGCATAACATCAGCTGGGATTGTTTGGGGCTGTATGGCATTTCATTGGTACTCTCGAAGAGTCATCGCAGATGCTAGAGGGATTACTGTCGAATGTTTACAGACCATGTTGGCAGCGTGCTGCATTTCTCCCCAGGGGGTCCTAAGCACGTCGGCAGATCTGTCAAGACATGCCAGTTGAGATGGTCGTGCGGTTCAAAGCAGCAGACGGAGGCCGCCGCAGATGGAGGTGGCAGCATGACGTAAACGGCGACGGAACCACGGACCAAAGCGTCGCAGCATTAAGCCTCATGCATACTCTAACCTGATCTTTCTAGAGGCTCTCCCCACTGTATCCCTGTATAATCCCGAATTATATATATATATAAATCCCCTATATCAAACATAGCCCTCATACTTCAACCAGTAACGCCTATAAGCCTAATGTTGGCCTAACACTTAAACCGGTAATCTCTGTATAACCCCTATATAAATCCCAAAACAGCCTTTATGCTTCAGGTAGTCCCCGTATAACCCCTCCATAAACCCCAAAAACCCATCAGAAGTAAACCGGACGTCTGAAGGCTTTGGCACTCTGCTCAAGCTGACAGACGGCATTGGCTGCCTGGCCACATTTGGTAGTTTCCCGAAAAATGAGGAAACCAAAATATAGACCCCAAAACACTATAGTCCTTGTTATTCTGACCCCCCAAATAGTACCCCTAATTTTGGGAAACCCTAATCCCTAGAATCCCCTATATAAACCCAGTTTCCATTTCATTTTCCATTTTCTTTTCCATTTGATTCTCCATTATAGTAGGAACCCCAGGTTTCTTGGGGTTTAGGGTGCCAGGGTGCCAGGGTTTTGCTGTGCGATCCCAGGTCAAGCCTCCACCTCCCTATGAATCCCAGAACCAACGGCTTAGGGTTAAGAGCTATAGTCCCCCTGAAGTAGATAGAATATGGCTTTGGGTATGTTATAGTAAGATCCCCATATACCTCATATTCTATCTGCTTAAGGTGGACTATAGGGTTACTGAAATTTCTTGTTGTTTTTTTAAATAATTATCTCGTGGTACATAGAGAAATATTTCCTTCCAGCAACAACGTTTGGAGAAGTGATTTCAAAAAGGTCCTTGTCAGCACACCCCCACGGTTGGAACTTATTGTTGTTGGCCCTACGTTTCGCACATGTTTGGAAAAACGTGGAAGCCTAAGTCTTACTGGGGATTAGTAGGGAATAAGGGAATATGTGAATTATATAGGGATCGGACAGGGCATAGGGATTACATTCCCCTATTCCCTACCAACCGGCAGTAAGACACAATTAGCAATCTTATGGACCTAACTTCAGACCTCAGAATCATGGTTGTAATTCATTTTCGTCCGTGTGTTTGCCACATATCCGTCCAAAGGGTTGGCAAAGAAGTGGAATTCTTGAGGTCTTTGCCTTGAACTGATAACTATTACTATTACTATAACTTTTACTATTACTATTACTATTAGGTACGTTTTCCATAATTGACGACTCGTTTTTCTACACCTAGTCTTCTTGGTTGTGACTTTCCAGAGCCATTTTTGATGGTATTTAC